ACAACACAACAGCAGAACACAACAACACAACACAACACAACACACAACACAAACAACACAACACAACAGCAGAACACAACAACACAACAACACAACAGCAGAACACAACAACACAACACAACAGCAGAACACAACAACACAACAACACAACACAACAGCAGAACACAACAACACAACAACAACACCACAACACAACAACTCAACAACACAACAACACAACAACAACACACAACAACACAACAACTCAACAACACAACAACAACACAACAACACAACAACACAACAGAACACAACAACACAACACAACACACAACACAACACAACACAACAACACAACAACACAACAACAACAACACAACAACACAACACAACAGAACACAACAACTCAACAACACAACAGAACAAACACAACACAACAACACAACAACACAACACAAAACACAACAACACACAACACACACAACACAACAACACAACAACAACAACAACAACACAACAACACAACACAACACAACAACACAACACAACAAAACACAACAACACAACACAACACAACACACACACACAACAACACAACAACACAACAACACAACAACACAACAACACAACACACAACAACAGAACACAACACAACAACACAACAACAGAACACAACAACTCAACAACACAACAGAACACAACAACACAACACAACAACACAACAGAACACAACACAACAACACAACAACACAACAAACACAACAACACAACAACACAACACCACAACACAACAACACAACAACACAACAACAGAACACAACAACACAACACAACAACACAACAGAACACAACAACACAACACAACAACACAACAGAGAGGACAAGGATGTGTGTCCTCAAGTCCTTGTGTCCTATTGTCCTCATGTCCTTGTGTCCTCGTGTCCTTGTGTCCTATTGTCCTCATGTCCTTGTGTCCTTGTGTCCTCGTGTCCTCGTGTCCTATTGTCCTCATGTCCTTGTGTCCTCGTGTCCTTGTGTCCTATTGTCCTCATGTCCTTGTGTCCTTGTGTCCTCGTGTCCTCGTGTCCTTGTGTCCTATTGTCCTCATGTCCTCGTGTCCTCGTGTCCTCGTGTCCTCGTGTCCTCGTGTCCTTGTGTCCTCGTGTCCTTTGTGGACTGGGACTTTACTGTATTTTTAGAGTTTTGTTGTTGTTTTTTTGCATTAGATTCAGTTTCAGACTCTGGGCTGGTGGATTACAACTGTGTTTTTATATTTACAGTATTTATATATTTACTGTAGTACTTGTATATTTGCTGTAGTATTTGTGTATTTACTGTAGTACTTGTATATTTGCTGTAGTACTTGTATATGTCCGTGTGTATGTTTGTTGTTTCAGACTCTGAGAGGGACATCTACATGAGGTTCATGAAGTGTCACAAATGTTACGACATCGTCCCAACCAGCTCCAAACTCGTGGTGTTTGACACGACACTGCAGGTACTGGACCGGGACTAAACCAGGACTGGACCTGGACTGGACCGGGACTAAACCTGGACTGACGTGTGTGTTGTGTTCAGGTGAAGAAGGCGTTCTTCGCTCTGGTGGCGAACGGTGTGAGAGCAGCTCCTCTGTGGGAGAGTAAGAAACAGAGCTTTGTAGGTGAGAACAAATACACTTTACATTCTAAACTAGGTCTAAACTAGGTCTAAACCAGGTCTAAACTAGGTCTAAACCAGGTCTAAACTAGGTCTAAACCAGGTCTAAACCAGGTCTAAACTAGGTCTAAACCAGGTCTGAACCAGGTCTGAACCAGGTCTAAACCAGGTCTAAACTAGGTCTAAACTAGGTCTAAACTAGGTCTAAACCAGGTCTGAACCAGGTCTAAACCAGGTCTAAACCAGGTCTAAACCAGGTCTAAACCACTAGGTCTAAACCAGGTCTAAAACTAACCAGGTCTAAACTAGGTCTAAACCAGGTCTGAACCAGGTCTAAAACTAAACCAGGTCTAAACCAGGTCTAAACCAGGTCTAAACCAGGTCTAAACCAGGTCTAAACTAGGTCTAAACCAGGTCTAAACTAGGTCTAAACCAGGTCTGAACCAGGTCTAAACTAGGTCTAAACCAGGTCTAAACCAGGTCTAAACCAGGTCTAAACCAGGTCTAAACCAGGTCTAAACCAGGTCTAAACCAGGTCTGAACCAGGTCAGGTCTAAACAGGTCTAAACAGGTCTAAACCAGGTCTAAACCAGGTCTAAACTAGGTCTAAACTAGGTCTAAAACTAGGTCTAAAACCAGGTCTAAACCAGGTCTAAACTAGGTCTAAACCAGGTCTAAACCAAGTCTAGGTCTAAAACTAGGTCTAAACCAGGTCTGAACCAGGTCTAAACTAGGTCTAAACCAGGTCTAAACCAGGTCTAAACTAGGTCTAAACTAGGTAAACCAGGTCTAAACCAGGTCTAAACAGGTCTAGGTCTAAACCAGGTCTAAACTAGGTCTAAACTAGGTCAGGTCTAAACTAGGT